TGTGTGTGTGTGTGTGTATAAATATATAAGTTGCTCTTCCAAATTTCGTAATGATTTCTACATAAATTGCTAGGAAAGCCATCAAGATGAACATAAACATGTTGAGATATGACCTAATTCCAGACATATAAATATTAATCAAAATTGAACTAGCCTAAGTATCGAAATTCTCAAATAGAAAATTCTTATACAATTAGGTACGTCACTCAGCTATGGAAATCCTACAGCTGCATTGTTTTATAAGTTCTTGTACGAGTGAACAATCAGAACATAAGGTTTCAAAAGTAGAGAAATATTCAATACCTTAAAGCGTGATCCAATGGAAGAAAATTTGGATGACTTCGATGATTCTTCAAGATTTCGAGGAAATAAACCAGCTACAAAGGGGCACTTTGAAGCCATTAACAAATCTTGATGTTCTGCCACCACATAATCTTTGTTCTTATCCAGGAATAGATCTGCCAGATAAGTTACCTGTAATCACATAAGATGTTATTGCAGAGATTTGGCAAGGTTTATTTCTTTTTTTCTTCTGTTGAATTTTTCTTTATGGCAAAATGGGCAAGATATCATTACCTCCCCAGCATAGTGAGATATTGTAAAATTGGTGCGTGATAGCTTGGGCTTGATAAATCGTTTGTTTTTTGCAAAGGTCTGATACAATTTCTGAGCAAATGTCTCATGAGTAGATTTTGGAAACATACTGCCACAAACAACATTATACGCGTGAATACGCCACCATATGCAAAGGATAAATGAAAAGAGAGAAACAAAAACTTCAGAATATTATATGATATTCATTGGCCACAAGTCAAAAGCAATGGATAGCCAGAGACAATGAAAACCCAGCCTCCTCTTCGTATAGTGCAAAATATATCTATATATATATATATATAAATATGGATGAAATTCCACAAAACTTGAATGAGGCCAAGGAATAGAATATCAGCTGGCATACCAAGCTTCGTCGAGAAGTGCAATTATTCCACCAGGTTTCTGCAAAATGTTTAACCAAGTTGGCTTTTACAGTGTGGCTATGCAATATGACAGACAAGTCTCAAAATAGAACATATTCAAATAATTTAATTTCAAGATCTTGAGATCAAAAACACACTTCTTCATAGATAATTGAAAGCTAAGTCATAAAAGCATGATATGGTTCCAAACCTTCTCAATCAGATCAAGCACATCTTGATTATCAACAAATTCTATGTAGCTCCAGTTTATCTTTTCTTTCTCATACTCTTCTTGTTCCATCTTAAAAACATGCTGAAACCATGAAAATAAAATCTCCAATAAGACTGGTCACTAAATTCAAAGCATTGAGCACCACTCCAAGATATAAAGAAGAGAAATGACCTGGTTAAAATGTTGTTGCAGCTTTTCATTGGTGAAATTGATACAGAACTGCTCAAAACTGTTGTGCTTAAAACTTTCAAACCCGTATATATCAAGAACTCCTATTATTGTTTTTGAGTTTGGATCCTGTCCAATGGAGATATTTATCTTGTCCACAATCCTGAGAATAATAGAAGACAGAAGTTAGAAATGAAATGTTAGACAAATACGGTAGCACATGCATATACAATGTTGGATTACAGAAGCTGCATTCATTTCCTTACCAGTCAAACAGGCGAGAATATATAGTTTTAGCCAACGCATCCCTGCTACCCAAAGCAGCTTCTGGATCAAGAGTCCTAGTAATAACTTCCTCAGGTGTCACCATCACGCGCTTAATAAGTGCATCTTCCAGGCTCTTGGGATCACACCTATTACATCAAATTGGTCATTTACAAAACCAATTTATATCTCAGATAGAAATATCCATCCAGAAATTAACCCTACTTGAGTAATTCAGCAGTAGTATTAAGATGAAATCTAGAGTTTTCATCCTTGATCACAGAAGAATCGATCTCCTTCCCTTTAGCAAATTCAATATTACCAAGATGAAGAATTGCTGCCACAACCCTAAAAATTGCTTCCTGAAATGATTTGACACTCATGTTAAATATAAAAGATCATGTCAAAAATCAAATCGTAAGGCATGAAAAATTATATTCTAACTTCTATGGGAAATGCTAACCTGCTCTTGCTCACTGATTCCAACTATATCCATAGCCCGCCTGGTCGCAAGGTATTCCTCAGCATCACTTACTCCATCAAGTTCATAACACTTCGATTGGTTGAGATAATGATACGATCCAGGGTTTCCCAGCTTATACTTCTCTCTATCCTGAAGGTGAATTGAAAATTCTAGCGCTATTTAAAACATATAACATCGCCAGCTACAGGACAGAAACAAAATTTTGACAGCAAATTAGAGGCCAAACTGCAAAAGCAAGAATAAATACCTCAGGTGATGCTGCACAAAGAAGATAGAAGCAGTGGTAGTTTCTTTCAGGATCCGAAATCTGGCAAACACGAGATCTCTCCAGCAAGTAAGTTCTTATAGCTGCTCCAGATATCCTCCCACTTTTATCAAATTGTATCTCAACAAATTTACCAAAACGACTACATGGAGACACCACCATCAAGATAAATATAAGTACAGAATATACAATCAAAATTAAAGTCCCATTAATAAATTGCCACTACAAGTATGGTCAAATAAAATATGTACTTTCACTCACAATCAAAGATGCTTCACGATCGCTTACCTGGAATTATTGTTCCTCACAGTTTTAGCATTTCCAAATGCTTCAAGAACCGGATTTGACTGTCATTCATTACAAAAGAACCCAGGTGTGGAAACAAGCTTGTCTTAGTAAGATCATGTATGAAGGTAACTCGTTTTGTGAAAACAAGGTTAAATGTAAGCTTCATATGTGCAAATCTTGAATCTTACTTCTAAAACTTGCTGTTCAACAGTCCGACCTTCTACTCCAGACCGACCACCTAAGTATGCAAGATATCTCATTAGCATCTTTGTGGTTTCAGTTTTACCAGCACCACTTTCTCCACTAACCAAAATTGAATTGCTCTTTCCCTCATTAATCATTGCCCTGGTTGCAAAAGTAAAATATGTTAACAGATATATCATCCCTCCCCCCACCCCCTCCCCCACAAAAAAAAAAAATATATATATATATATATATATATATATATATATAAAATTAAAAAAATTGCCCAACCAATTATAAGAAAACAAGAGAAACTCCATATATGTTATATCATTTTAACCTGTAAGAAACATCTGCAATTGCAAAAACATGAGGACTAAGCTCTCCAAGTGCTGCTCCTTTGTATTGTTGCATCATGTGAGTATCATAGAGATGAGGCAATCTTTGAAAAGGGTTTATTGCAATCAAAATGTTTCCAGTATAGGTCTGAAAAAAGATTAAATAATCAAATATATTAGTTTGATTCAAAATGATAATCTACTGAAATCAATGAGCAGCAATGTCTAGGAAGTTCACTGCAGAAAAATACACTTACGTATATTTCATTAAGTTCATATCTGGTCGCCAGATTTTGCAGAACTCCAGGTTCATGCAAATATGAAAGCTTAGTCATGTCATCTACACCTCCAGGAGGAGATTCAGTATCCTTTGGAAATACTTTTGAGATATTTGCAACAACCTAAAATAAGGGAATTTAAGATTTTTACAGGCAGCATATGGACAAAAGTTCTTTAGCACTCATCATATGTGCAATAGCTTCTAAGCCAGAATTTCCAAAATCAGAATGTAATGAATTGAAAGTTAACCAATATTCTCCTGCAAAATGATTACAACAAAAAACTTTCACTGAACAAACATAAATAATTCAATAATTTGAGAACACGAGTATTAGGAATCAAAGATCTAATCGCTCAAGTACACAAGAACGAGTTCTGCTAAAAACTAAAAAAATGCTTATACGACAGTTTGGAACACGGGAAAGGAACATGTGATTATCATATATTCACGGACAAGAACCAGAACCAGTAGTTTCTAATTTCACTGTACGACTACGTGAAATTACACTGTAAAGCATTGGCATCTCACATCTGTCCCCACAGTCATGCACTGTGCAGCAACAATGAAAATTTTTAATCAAGAAACTATCTTTCCATATAATTTAATGTCAACCTTCATAGAATTCCAATTAGTTGCAAGGAGATTTGACAAGCATTTCCTTCTTCCAAGCGCAGAAAGTGTAACAAAATCCACAGAAAGAGCTCCCATGATTACATTCCAGGGTACCATAACCAGAACTGTAATGTAATTGAATCACCAACAATTTTACCACCCTCCATCAGTTAGTTATTTAGTAAGTGCAAATTAAATTGAACTTCCACTGTTTGCATAGTAAATGCCTTACTTCTGAATCAGTCTTCAAATCACACTCATGCACTTTCAAATGTAAATCACATGTTCTTTCCTGATATCCCCAAGATGATATTGATATGGTTAAAAATTATATTTTTTTAATAAACTCACAAGAATTTATAATAATATTGCCAGTTCACTTAGAGAATTTTGGAATCCCTGTAAAAAACTGGAGTCCAACACCAACAATGACAGTTATAGGGTTCACCTTCAACCTCAATTGACTACACTTCATAAAATACCAGAAAGAGTTTCTGAATCTGATGTTAAAAGTATTTATTAGTGATCTGTATGATTTTATAGTTTTATACTATTCATTCACAAGCTCATTCAATGTTTGAAGAAAAGTAGATGTATTTGTCTGCAAAACTCAAAAAATTTAAAATTGTAATTCAGACAAAGTCTATCGCAAAATGTTTTCTGCAGAAATAAGTGATTATTAAATAGCCATAGCAACATGTACAAGTGCAAACAAAAAAGCAGATAGAATCTGAGTAGTCACCGTTTTCCCATTTGTAGTTTTAACATGAACATCTTGACCATCTATTCTGGATACTTCTCCATCAATCCATGCCAAGGCTGAATCCTCAACCCATACATGAGATCCAACAATAATGTTAACCCGTGATGCCTGCCAAAAAAATACTTACATTAGACATGCAGCAGTGTACTGATTATTTTGTTTTCAGAATCAATCTGACATCAATGAATCTCATCTTTTACATCTTAATCCAAGATAAACACAAATAACAACAAAATGCAGCTACAACAAGCATAAGGCTTTCATGTTCCATTCACCCTCTCCTTCATCTACCACACCCAAAAAAAAAAAATAATAATAAAATTAAATTAAATTAAAATTAAAATTAAAATTAAAAAAGAAACTTGAAACTTCAGTACATGTAATAATAATTATATAGATATTGTCATATATCTATATGATAACATAATTATGAACTGTGGATGAAAAGCCTCCTGACCTGAACTGACTAGTTAGAATATAAGCAGAAAATCACAATCAGTAAAACATGAAAGTAAGGATTTAATAATTTGCAAGTAAGATTTTAATTATATCAAATTCCTGAGTTCTGATCAAAACCAAAATTGCCATAAAAAATGTATCAGAAAGAGTATGGATGTATAATCTAAATTGTCAGCACACTTCATTACGGGTCCATTCCGCTAGGTGAAATTCTTAATACTACAAGCATAAGTTCGATATTATGACATAAGCCTACTTAAAACTTCACTTTACTATACATTATTTAAGTCGATATTATATGTTATAAGACTAAATAATCGAAGACTCCCATGCAGTTAGATAATATATATAAACATAAGCCAGGAAAAAAAATTATTTTGAGGTCAATCAGCTTAGTTTAAAATTTATTAATATTACATTTTTCACTTATAAGTAGTGCTTTATTAAAGGCATATATTTAGGCAAGTTGTAAAACCAAGAACCTAGCAACTGGTCATTAAGAGTATACATCTTATTGAAATCATAATAAGCTTTCTAACAGATACGCTTGTGCTTAAGATGAAATTTCTAAGACAATAGCAAGCATAAATTCGATATAACAGACGTAAGCCATTTTGGTTGAAGGTGGGCCTTCCCATATATTTCTTAAGCTGAAAATATTCTCTAAGAAAGAAATAATTACACAGTTCTAATCTAAATGATACAATCTGAAAATGATGCATTAGATGTTGCTTGGTCATGATTAAAGATTATTGCTCATCTGTAATACTTCTTTTTTTTTAACAATCATTTTAAAGGTGTATCTATGAAAAGTCCTCTTATGCAGTTACACTTTTGGTAAAATCAGTACTTGTAAGCAAACACAATGTTAAATGGCTAATAAGGATTTTTATTCCTCATTTAATAATTTATTTTTTTAAAATGACTTATATCTCAAATTTTAATATTTTAGGTTAACTATTCTTCAATAACATTTTTTTCCATTCCTCAATATTTGAAATTATTTTTTCAATTTTTTAGTAATTTGAACTTGAGTTAGGATAATGAAAGGGGGTTTTAACAAATTATTAAGTCGAAATATCTTATTGTCAAGTGTATTCAAAATGTTCCTAGTATTCTGACAATAGAAAAATATTGCCCTTTTACTCACAAAATAAATATTGATTTTTAGTAAGTAAATAGGGGAAAAGTAATATTTTTTTCCTATATTTATGTCAAAAGATATACCTATAAGTTATAAATAAGTTGACCTACTTAGAAATTGAAAAAACATGCTCTTTATGCTCTGCTAATAAGTTACTTACCGTGAAAACAGAGTGACAAATATTTAAAAGAAGAGTGCAGAAAAATCTCTATTAGAAGGAAAAGGTACTTGTTCCAATGTGCAAAATTGTTACAGAAAACATAGACTCAGCCAGCGCAAAAGAGATCTGGAATGCAATGCATCATTTATTATCCAGCATAATACAATTAGAGTAAAATTTTTAGACATGATCAGCGAGTTATAGAAATGTTAAAATGCAAGTCTTCAGAACAATTTATGCTACTGTTTAAACATAACCTGATTTCAGGCATGATTTTGAATGTACATAATAATATCAACATTAAAAAAATTATAAATATCAAGAATTAGCGTAATTACTTTGGAGCTCCAAAGTCAATGTATATGAAACGATGCACAGTGCTTTAGGACGACGAATTGGACTGTAATTCTAGAGGATATCATCTATTGGCCATCTATGAGAAGAATGATAGCCAATGAGGCTGCAAGAGTATAAAGTAATTAAAAGAACTCAAAAATTCTTTGTTAAAACAAAGTGTTCACTCGACCTCTTAAACAATGTACGTGATGACATTGTGGTAAGACTAATCAAAATTATTATGGCAGAAAAGAAGACATATGACAGCATAAGAGAATAATAATTTTTTTTTAGACAACAGCAGATTTTATTGTTTAAAAAAGACGTAGCAAAAATGTTATGTTACCAATTTGCTAGAGAGAATGCAAAGATAAATCAGCATTGCTTATTTGGTACTCCAAAACATATAAAAAGGCAAAACTATCTATCATCTTATTGTATGTTCAAATTATTGGTAGTTTTCAAAAAGTAAACAAGGAGAATAATTAATTCATTGAAGACAAGTCATTAATATAATTTGGATGAGCTTGCCAATTCTTGAGTAATATCTAATCTTGGTCATCAGAAAACTCTTATTTAAATTCTTGGATGAGGAACCAACAGGACAAGCACAAGCTAGAAGCAAAAAAATATTCATTAACATATACTCCTATCTCTTACATGACTCTCACTTGTAACTTTCTTTGGGCGAAAACGAGGTTGATCTTAGGTGAGAGTTATTTGAAGGTTCTATAAGGAGTTGGGTTCGCCATCACTCAACAACTTGATCTTAACCATTTTCAGCAAGCAATTAAGGTTCCAAAAAGTTGCCTGCCTAATGACCTGACCCAGGCCAATATAGTTTGTATTAGGATTACCATCCACTCAGGTAATTCTAAGCTTGTCGCTCGGAAAACTGACGGCTGTGATAAGTGTGTCTCCTATTCTAGTGTGAAAATTTACAGATCAACGGCATCACATTAGATATCAGATTAATTCAAAATTAGATTATTTATAGAATAAGACAATAACAACAACAATATCGTAAACCTATCACCATTGCTGCCAACCAGATAACTCGTATCTTTTCTTGATCCTCTTGCAAATAGGCACATGCGAGAAATCATCAGCTCTTTAGTTATACTATTAAATTGGTAACTAGGTTGAGCTACTACATTTCGGCTACCGACATAAGCATTAAGAAATGCAGGTGGTTTCATTAATATTGACTAGGAGCCAGCTAGGAACTTTCAATTAGGGCAAGTAAATTAACTATTATAATATAATGAAGGTTCCATTATCATGCCTAACATTTGATAGCACCTAGCCAATGAAATTAGAAGAATTAAGTGAATCAAGAGTACTGTGAATGTGCACAGGCAAGATACTCCAAACGAAAAATGTGAGCTCCCAAACTCTACATATGTTTTCTGCATCTACACTTTTAGCACCACACATTCATTTCGTAACCAAATAACGTTCAATTTCTGTTTCACACAATGATTAACTAATCTAATTAATCAAATTTCCGGATGTACAAGTTTTAATATTTAATCAAGTTTTAATATTTAAGTTGAATAAAATTAGTATTTATTCCCCGAATCAATTCATGAAAATCACTTGTATTCATCTTCAACAATAAGGAATACTAATTTTCTTCGCAAAAACGTTCCACCAAAATTATTTCTTGTAATCAGCTTTCACAATCAGGCCATTTTTAACACAAAATGAACAATGAATAGAAAAATGCATACAGTTTTAGAAAATATATATAAGTTAATTTTCCGATTGCAGCACAGACTCAGAATTGAACAAAAATTAATAGTCAAAACAAATTCAAACAGACATCAAAACGACATGTTTCTATTCGTTTCAGACATCAACTTACCATAGTTGAATTTCAAATGACTCGATCTCCAGCTCCTCCTCCACTCATCAAGACAAAGAGAGACCGAGTTCTGACCAGGTCAGATCGTCGCACCTCCGATTCGGAGCTTCTCAACTTTTTCTGGTACAAATCAACAGCTTTTTGTTCCTTTGTTTAAAAGAATTAGAAAAATAATACTGAACCTTGTAAATATTGTTTACAATACAATATATGTATGTTGCGTGTGTAAAGGTAAATCAAATGGATTGCGAATTGTTTTTACTGTGTTTCTCTCTCTAAAGTTTGCTGGCTGCACTGTTTCTCTCTCTTAAAACGAGTAAAATATTTCGGATTTCTTGCTATTTTTCATAAATAGTATTTTTCTTTGTCTGGTCAGCTGGCTGTGGAGCCCACCTGTAGCACAAAAACAGGAATTACATGTTTGGTTAAGTTTAAAATTTTCACTCATAAGTAAAATATGTTACTTTTGAATAATTTGTCTATCAAAGTTTCTTTTTTGATGGTGTCAAGCAAGCATTTGACATGTTATTGAATCATGTAGCTTTGGACGATGTTTGAGATGCAGTACAGAATACAATTAAATCAGACTCGATTACTTTATCTAGAATAGTTAAAGAGGGGAGAGTGTGAATTACTCCATTCAACTATTTTTTTAACGCGTGTAATAAAAGATACTACGTTTCACTTCAGAAAGAAGTGCTACAAAATCTAGAAAAATAGACAATTAATTGACATATTTCTCTCAGATTTCGTACCCCACGCAACAAGTAAAGCATCAAATTTAGCAATATCGATGACAATAGAACTATCACAAGTTAAAGCCACCCTGCTCTGATAGCATGGTTTTGAAATTTTCGTTGTACAACAAGTAAAGCATCAAATTTAGCAACGTCAATGACAATTGAACAACCATAATCCCGCTTTGATAACAAGGTTTCAACACCTTTCGACTAGAAATTCAACATCAGCTTCGATCAAACATCTATCAAAGTTAAGTAACTTATTATAAAAATAATCATATATTTACTACCATGACAAGTAATATTTTTACTTATAAGTAAGAAATATAACTTAATTCAAATATACTTGCTTAGGCAAATATGGTCTTAGAGGTCGCAGGAAAAGAGATGGCGTTGCACACAAAAGCCCACATTCTAGAGTAGAGAGAATCTCCCTTTTTTTTTTTGGCTAATTAGCACAAAACGTCCCTACCTTTGGAGGTTTTTGTGGATAACGTCCCTACCTTTCGTTTTTTGACGGAGAACGTCCCTACCTTTACCATTTTTTGCGCAGAACGTCCTTCTGTCAATTCCCCGTTAAATCAAATAAAATGGATCTTTTTTTTTTTAAATGCAGGGGTAAGATCGTCCATCCAACATTTTCTTCACTGTGTAATCTCTCTCATCTCTTTCTTCTTCAAAAGTTCCAGAAAAAGTAGAGTAACATGAAAAAAAAAACTTGAACAATATTATTTCATTCAATAAATTAGGGAAAATGACGTGAGAATGACTGCATTTCTGGTAGAAAATATTCATGATTGCTGTAATACTGATTGTTCAAAACATTTTGGAATGCTATATGAAAAGAATGAATATGTGGTTAATAAAAATGAGATGTTCATCCTCATTTTGTGCTTACGAAGGGTGTAAATAAGAGGTAAAGTGAGAAGGCCAATTAAAGTATGATTTTGTAACTGGACAATAAATGTGATGGAGTGGAGAAGATGATGAAATATGAACGTGTTTTCTCCCCCATTTTAGCATAAAATTGAATTGGTGATAACAATTCCTACCTTAATATTGTCTTTGCCATAACATCCCTACCCTTACAATATCCCTGCACAAAACATCCCTACCTTTACATTCTATTTGAGCAAAACATCCCTACCTTTGTTAAAAATTGTGCAAACCATCCCTACGTATTTTGAGCCAAACAACCTGTTTAAACTGCAGCCAAATACAATTCTGTTTATCCCTGCAATTGAATGTCCGTAATACCTAGTTCGAACACAGCAAAACCAATACTCAACATCCAAATTCAATAACAAAATGCAGTAAAATCAGCACTCAACAACCAAACTAAGTAAAATGAGTACTCGACAATAATTAAAAAGTGCTCATTTCTGGATATCCAGTTTGGAGAAGAGAAAAGGTTTCATAATCAGAAAGTGCCTATCTCTGTCTAGCTGTTCAAAATTATACACATCTTATTTACACCCTTCGTAAGCACAAAATGAAGATGGACATCTCATTTTTATTAATCACATATTCATTCTCTTCATAAAGTATTCCAAAATGTTTTGAACAACTAGTATTACAGCAATCATGAATATTTTCTATCAGAAATGCAGTCATTCTCGCGTCATTTTCCCTAATTTATTGAATGAAATAATATTGTTCAAGTTTTTTTTTCATGTTACTTTACTTTTTTCTTGAACATTTGAAGAAGAAAGAGGTGGGAGAGATTACACAGTGAAGAAAATGTTGGATGGACGATCTTACCCCTGCATTTAAAAAAAAA